TTATATGAAGTAAAATACATAAAAAAGGAAGCATGCTGGGGCAAAAATGTCTTCTGTGCCTGATCATGCATTACTCAACAGTGTCACGCACAGAGTCAATGCATACAGATAACAAGCTCACAAGGTGCAATATACTCAATGGATGAGAGCATGATGCAGCTGCACCAGTTTAGTATACCGGTACATTATATATGGAGCAAGACCCAGTTCTGCTCATTTCCATTCCACAGGACCAGACATGGAAAAGCATCCACAACTACTGTATTAGTGGCCCCATTGCATAAATCATTTGCTCACAGCCAGATACATGCCCAGGGAAAAAGATGCCCAGACATATACTTCCACTCCCAGACACAGCATGAGGACATATACAGTAAAATCTCATTGCAACAAATTGTTTAGCATAACAAGCATTCTCCAGAGTCTCAGCAGAAAGCCCATACAGTACATGTTAAACCAATCACATTGTCAAGAACTTCCCAATTCCAGGATGAAAAATGTTTTGAGGAAATTATAATAGACTCTCCAGGTGAACATTCTATGATTAAGGCAGACACAATCTGAAGTTTACCATCTCAAATGTAACTGAGTGGTTCTTGTAGCATGGATGGAAGCTATCATTATTGACAAATATGCTTCCAAGTGGTTGCAAACATCTGAACTAGTTGGTGCAAGCAATTGAATGCACAAGTGAAGCAAATTTTCTTTTTAGAAGTTCACTCAGTTTTTTTGAACAATGATGAAGAATCAGAAAATGCCAGAAAAGCAAGACCTAATTCATCACACAGGCAGGTCAGATATGAAAATGTTTCCAGTCATCAATTTGAAAATCTCATTATAAAAAATTAATCAGTACCACAAACTATTTCTGAAGTCTTCAAAAGTACCCTCAAAAGCATGTTTTGTAGCAAGATTTCAGTGTACTGTATACCCTAAAATAGACTGTACAGTACTCTTCCCAAGAGAACACCACACCTGATCAAAATAATGGTGAAAATTTAAACAATATTTCTGAAAATTGATTGGAATCATGTTACAGATTCACCATCATGAAGGGGATCTAGTTGTTTTTTTTGTTCAGTGTTACCAGTTGACAGGGAACCCTTTATCATTATGCTCACATCCACTTCCAAAAAAAGTTACATTTTCAAATGTTGTGAAACTCAAGACATATAATTAAAGCTGTTGCTGCCTCATCGTGGGAAAAATAAAAGAAATCCCATCACAAACAATATTCCATCAATTCGCAATCTGAGGTTTTAGATAAAATCAATTCGAGGAAAAGTGTGACCAAAGTCGGGAAGAATAAATAAATGAAAATATATTGCACATGAAAATCAGTACATGCGTATACAGTACTGCAGTGTAAAATTGTGCCTTTTTCCCCATCACAACTGGATTATTATTTTAAAAATCGTCGCAAAAAATTTTCATGATGTGAATTCCAAAAGAAAATTGGTTCTTCCTCGTCCATCAGACTGGAATATATTTTTCCTTCTCGAAAGATTATCCCACGCGGATATATAAAATATGTAAGCTTTTCTTTTTTTTTTCAAATGATCACCAGAGATGAAAACGAAGCTCGAGAGTCTGTGGAACTCGTCCAAAAATCGTTATGACGCAACTGCACTTGGCAGTCATCAGTTTATGCACGTAGGGGCCAAAGGGAAATCGTTGAAGTATTCCCGAGAAAGAAAGAGAATAATGTTTCAAAGCCCCCTCCATCCGAATATTATTCAAATTCAAAGTCATACTTCCTTCTCTTCCACGTGACAAAGAGGCAGCAGACAGACAAGACAAGACGAACAAATTCAAGTACTTGTCCGTCCCGAAAGTAACACTACAAGTACATGTACTGCATTCAACAAAATTACAATTTCTCTCCTATTGCTCTTCATATTTTGGCAAAAGACTCATGAATAAAAAATTTAGTAGATTGAAAAATTAATCTAAAAAACCACGTTTTCAAAAAGCAAAAAATAACCTTAAACGTGGTGCGCATAATTTGATCCAGACAAACAAATGGACAAGAAAGCAAGTTAATAAAAACGTGTTAATAAAAAGCAACTCGACCCGAGAATTTCTGTAGGCACGTAATTTCGCACTGAAATTTCGCGAACGAAAAAAAAAAAAGGGCTGGGAAAATTTGGCAAGGTTTCCTCTTGGCGAGGAAAAAAACTTGGGCAGTCATCCACTTCTTCGATGCACCTTTGCCTCGAATTTTAATACGCTTTAACTGCATGACAAGTAGAATTTTTCCAAGTGACACCTTCAACTTTAAAATGGACGTGATAAAAAATTAGCATCATTTGTTTTTCTGCGGAGAAAAATGAACGTCCCGAGAAACATAAACAAAATTCGCGTTACAAATTTCGAATAAAAAACAAATTGAACTCTTAATTTTGAATTCAATGGAACTGAGTTTTCCGAAAATTGATTCAATTCGACTTATAAAGAGAAATTAATTCCAAGCAAAATACTGTACGTGAATGAACTAAAGCTTTTCTTATCCCCCCTTTTTTCCCAGCTTAACGATTTTACCTTATGGCTTCATTCGAATTCAACTCATTGCCATGCAAATGGAATTCATATATTCAAACTGAATTTTTTTTCGGTTAACGCCATGTTCAGATTCGCAGTCTCTGCAGGGTGGTCCCAAGAATTAATTTCAAGCATTGGTCAATCAATTACAAGAATTATAAGGCTTCAAAATACAATATTCACCTCGGTTTTCGGTTATTAATACACAGTACTGCACCAAAATCAATTGACATGCTGCATAAACTGTCACCTATGGATTACAAAAATTATTAACAAAAGCTTGTCTTATCTTATAAAATGGCATCAAGACAATTGTTCTAAATTTCGCGTTTTCTGTTCCAATCCAAAGAGTTTCAAAATTGAAAATACTGTATTTACTCAAGTACCACACGCACCTATTTTCTCAAATATCAGAATAAAAAAATTGGGTGCACGTCATAAGCAGGTACAAACTTTTCAAGAAGTTTTAGGAAGTTATGTGTGCAATATACTTAATTATAATGGAGAGATTTAGAACAAAATTGACAAGAAAAATTTTCTGCGCAGAGGAAGTTGAAAATTTATCCAATTTTTGTTCAATTCATGTCTAAAGTCAAATTTTTTGAATTTATTTTCAAAATGTTGTGGTTTTAGATTCACTAAAAATTGGGGTGCAGGTCTTACTTGGGTATAAGATTTTAGCCGAATTTCCAACTGGAAAAACCCCTGTGCTCACCTTACTTGAGGGCGCATGGTACTTGAGTATATACAGTACATGTATCCCAAGTTTATATCTTGTGCATCATGAAGATACAGTGGGAAAAGAATTTTCAGCACACAAAAAAAATTATTTTTCTCAAGTCATGATCAAAATTTTTGTAGAGCACATATTGAAACAATCTCATAACAACAAACTTCCAATTTCAGTGCAACAAGCTTTATTGAATGTTTTATGAAATTTCAGATCCCAGATGTGACTGACTGCTGCTGCCTGTGACATTGATGAAAGCTAAAATAAAAGATAAGCATTCTTCAAAAACGTTCCACACAACAGAATGAAAAAGTGAAGCTAATTTTTTTTGGAAGAACACTGTCAATAACAAAATAAAAAGATAATGCAAGAAAAGCAGGATCTAGTTACTCATATGCATTTCTGATGTGCAGATTTCTTCCGGTCATCAATTATAAAAATCTTTTAATCAAAAAATTATTCCATCAAACAAAATTTTTTTCGGAAGTCCCCAAAAGCTTCCTGCAACTAAATTTTACTTTACTGAATCTGCATTAATTTTGACTCCTTTGAGCGTCTGAATAACCAGTAGCATGCACATGACCTCAAAATATGCACAGTACTGAAGCAGAAGTCAGTCAGACCAGGAATGGTCTCATTTCCCAGGAAACAAGGTAGACATAATTTACAAGTATAAAACATTTCCTAAGAACTGCTTCGGTTCCATACCATCAAGTCACTCCACTCTTTTGTCAGACATGGCATACTGTAGTCTCTTTTACTAGTCACAAGTACAGTGCTGCATTGTACCACAGAGAGTGAAGGTTCACAAATCCAAAAAAGCCGGTGAATGAAGACTTTCCCCAGCCTTGAATAATGAACACAACACAAGGGAGAGTTTCAGAGCTCTGACATCATGATACATTTTGGACAGTGGTGCAAGACAACTTGCACTCAATTCAAAAAACACCAGGGATCAAGATTTGTTTCTTTAAAAAATGACGCAAAATTACTTACAAGGTACAACACAGAATAAAACAGGAAAACTTTAGTAAAATCCCAGGAGTTGTAAGAGTTCAAATTTGGGCTTTGAGAAAATCTGCCCAATCCAAAACTATGGCCCAAGAATTTAGATACAGTCATGAATTTAAAACAGTAGAATATTGTTACAAAAAACTTGTTGAGACTTCAGAAAAAGTTTATTCTCCTGAATAATTTGCAACAAGATTTCCAAAATTTAATGACAAGAAAATATTTTTGCTTCAGGCATGCCTATAATCAATTAGTTCTTGCTTTTATGGCATTCTCACACTTCTTTACATTTTTTTTACTAAACAGTGATCTTTTGAAAAAAGGCTTTGGTTATGAATTTAACCTACATCCTTGTAAGCATGTTTGTCATTGATTGCAGTTTCATCCATTCTACAAAAATCAGTCAAGTGGCTCAAGTCACATTCAGGATCAGAAATTTCAGACTGTGCCCGCCTTAAAATCAGGAAATTTATAGCTCAAGAATCTATCAAACATTCCTTCAAAAAGTGTCTTATACTGTACTGGATTTGGTCGGTATGTTACAGTGATAATTTAAAAATGTACTCTACGAGCTTTCTTGAGAAAAAGTCGATCCTGAAAAGTAAATGGTAAAAGTATTTGTTGCAACAAGATTCTGCTGTATCCTCAATTTACAATCTTTCAGAAGCATCTCTCGACACAAAAAAATCAGCCCTAAAATTTCGTTTGAAAAGCGTCATCAAAGAACGAAGCTTGTCGAGTTTGAAATAATCGGTCCAAACTTCAAAATGACGACAACCCGGACTTTGCCCCCGAGATAAGAAGGTTCTTCAACGGAGAAGCTCCTAATAGGAAAAAGAAAATTCCGAGCCGAAAGTAAACACATTTCAACAAAATGTGACCAAGAACCAAAATTAAGCTCATCGGATTTCTTCCTCGACCATCGCCCAAGACATTTCGCATTCCTCAGGAGGCCCATACACTCAATCCTCTGCCAACATTGTGGGTACAAATCCATCTCGCCTTTGACGTCATCGCCCATCTATACTCAACCACACGACATTTAAAAATACCCGACAAAGACGAAAGCCAAATAAATGCAAACATCAGTCAAGAAATACAGGTACAGTATAACAAACACTCACAGCTCTACAGAAAACTTCAAATGATCTCGCAAAAAATAAAAAATAAACAATTCTATTCACAACCTTTCTACGACCATGCTTCAAACAAAAAAAGGCCTACTCGGTTTTTCGTCGAAATGAACCCTCAACGAAGTGAGAAATAACACAAGTGGCGCCAATCAACCGTGAACCAATTTAACCACAAAGAAATGAAAACAAAATAATTTGACAAACTCACCCTTCTCCGTCGAGCTTCATAAACCCGGCAGACACACTACCAAAGCACACAGCAGGCACGGCAAACCCGAAAACATGCAACGAACATTCATATAACGTACACAACACAAATGAACCCCAAAAAGTCAAACCTCTTCAAGTCGAATTATTCTCAAGTCCTTTCAGAAATGACCTCATTAAAACCTCCCAACTACAAAAAAACCTATAGCTCTTTCTGTTCATTAATTTTAATGACACAGAAAATCAACAAAGAAGCAATTCTTCTTTCTTTCTTATCCCCCCCAACTCTCAAAGCTCGACTTGAAGAGGTTCGACTCGCATCAACAAAAGCAGAACGAAAACAATTCATTCGAAAAAAAAAAAAACGGAAATCGGGCCACGCAACACTCACTTTTTCGGGCCAGAACGTCCATAGGCCATGTACCCCAAAGCTGCCACGCCTGCAGTGAGGCCGACACCAATCAGTTTCCTGTTCGCCATGCTAAATTGCTATTGCACTTTGTTCGAGACTGATATCACACCAAATGTATTGCACACACAATGTCGTCGTCACGAAACACAAAATAAAACGAGTGACGGGAAGTAAGAGACACGGAACGATTTTCTTCCAGTTAAAGCTGGCGAAGGGCGCCCAACGGATAATTTTCCGGCTAAAAACAAAAGCAACCTGGAAAAACAAGGGAAATCAGCTGAGTTGTTGATGCCGTTCCACTCGATAATGGCCTCTTCTTCTATCTGTCTCCGAGACGTAAAACGGGCGATTGTTCACAGGGGGGAAGCAGCAACAACACGGTACACAGCAACAAAGGTGCGTGATTTTATCAACGTCGAATACGCACGCAACCACACTCGAGCCCTCCATCATTGAAACGAAAACAAAACAAAAAAAACCTCTCGTTTCGCCGCGTGACCAAAGCCTGAACGCGAGAAAAAAAAAAACAAAAAAACCTCCCGGCATTGTCAGAAGGGTCCGGGAAACTTTTCCATCCAGTCCTCCCTCGTTGTTCAAGTTCACCAAATGTCCGTTTCCGCTTCCGGATTCCTACTCTCGACTCCGCGTCAATTAAATCAATTTCCAAAAAAAAAAAAAAATAGATCCTTCGCGCTTCGAAAGCGTTGCAATGAATGAGCCGCTGCTCCTCCCGTTATCGACGACAACGAAACAACACGCAATGACTCAAAACACGGGCATGCGCTTGATGAACTTTGCATACCACAGGAAACTCGTGGACGCGCTCAAACCGAACCTGCAACACAATCGTTTCATAACAAACTTAACTTTTGAGAACATTTTCATATTTTTTCCTCGAGGAAATTTACCACGTAATGATGTACGACAAATGCTCGTTACGCAACGTGACTCTCGTCTGCCCTCCCACTGGGCCACCAGGGACAGTCGACGCGGCATCCGCATCCAGGAAAATCGGAACAGCTCCCACTTTCGCCGCCATCGCCGTCACATCCCTTTCGGAAATACAAATTTGCACGACGATATCCAGGTAAAATTCAAAATAATGCCCCCCTCACCGGTAATTCCAGTTGACACCCTCGGCCTGATTCTTCCACTGGAAATTCGCCCTGGGCTCGTCCAGTCGGAAGATGCCAGTCAGCGTCACGGGTCCTTCCACTTGGCCCACTGGTCTCGCTTCCGGCTTCGTTTTACTTCTCGGCACGAAGCCTCGGTTGACTAAAATGGTCATACTATTTTTTGGAAAATATTGATTAAAATTAAGCGATTGATTGTAAGAAAAAAAATCACAGGATTTAGTTTGCTCACTCGCGTTCACTGAGTTTGAAAGGCGTGACGACCCAAGAACCCGATCTCGAGGGATCCGAAATTATGCCGCCACCTTTCGGGTTCTTCTCGTTGGTCACGAGAGACCGAGGGCTCAAGTACATTTCTTGCGAATGAAGGAATTCCCCGCGAACAGTGACTGGACGGTATTCCAAATCGGCGAAAGTCTCTGGTTCGAATCTTTCGCAAAAAAAATAAAATAAAAATATGTTAATGAGTCGTCGAAAAAAAAAAGAAGAAAGAAGTGAAACGACTCACGAATCGGGTAAGAGGATCGGAGTGGCTCCTGTTTTCTCCTCCAACTCCTTAATCAAGTCCAACTTCCATCGCCGTCGTTTCACTTGCCAGCAACCCAACGCAAACGTCGCAGCCGGGATCACCTGAAAGAAAAAGATTCGCATTTCAAAAAAACCCTCTTCCATTTTTGTCTTTCTTCGTCTCCAAAAAAGGAAAAAATCCGCTCACCAACAACGAGTAGCCGTACGCAGATATTCTCGCCCTTCGACGTTCAAACAACAATTTGGCAGAATCCGAAGCGTTGCCACCCGCATTTCGCACATTCGGAAGTCTTTTCGTTGCTCCCTGAATGGAAAAATCCAATTTTTATTTCCAACACTTGATTCAAAATTGAGAAACATACTCACAAGCGTAATTCTGCCGACAATCGCTGTCACGCCAGACATTCTGCAGACACAGAACATGCCCTGGATTTGACGAAGAACTTGCACAGAAAATTAATCGAATAACATCAATTAATTCCCAAGTGAATACCACTTGTCGCAATACAAAAAAAAATTTAATGGCAATAATTTCTGGCTTGAACTTTCCAACAGCAACAACAACAAAAAACGGTTGATCAAACAAGGCAATGAAGACTAGACTGAGTTTCCATTCTTCCAAAGAAAAAAAAAACATTCCTTCGACGATGGAAGACGAAATGAAAATGGTGAGGTTCTTCTTCTTTAAATGCAATCATTAAACGGTCCAGCATGAATCACATTGTGTACAAAGCACCAGGAAAATGGCACCCAATTTCTTTCTTTCCCTCAAAACGGTGGTTAAACGGATATTTTCTTCGAGTTTCATTCACCACTCCTTCACTGCCCTCAAGCTACACACGACGATTGAAGCCTGAAATTCATCCGATTTCCACATCCCAAAACGGATGATGCTCGACTCTGAAGTCGCAATTAATCACACCTGCATCACATGTCCAGTGAAATCCTGGGGGTTACTATCGAGAAACTTCCGCTACGAGACCTCGGAAAACGCGGCGAAAAAAGGAATCGAGATAGAATATTGATTGATGTTTCCCCCGGAAGCATCATTAGCATCAGTAGCCCTTATTCAACGCACGATTCCGTTTCGAGTAACACGCGGGACAAAGTATCTCGCGTTTTCACGCGCATTTCATCTCACGAAAACAATTTAAGGTGCACCAGGCGCCAACAGAGTACAATTTCTACAACGAAATTCGCTCGGGTCGTAAACACTGTAATCCAAGAGCTTCAGCACCTGGCTGCACGACTTCTGAATCACTTCCAGCACTTCCTTCGAAATCTTGTGCTTCCACGCGTTCACAGTGGCTGAAGAGTCTCTCACGACGGAATACGGATTCGTCCAAGCACCCTTGTCCACCTTTCCAGATGTGGCCAGGCGAAGGAATTTCTCCACAGACAGGATTCTCGAGTTCAGGCCGAGGAAACGGAACAACGACTCGGCCACTGCGGAAGAGTTCGTTCCGAGATCTTCGTATTTGATCTGCGTCGAACAAAAGTTCACCACAGAGAATAAGTACCATAAATTTCGTTCGAAATCGTCAATAAATTCTTAAAAGCCGCTGTAGTCACTCAACGAAGTTCCATCCACAGTATACAAACAACCACAAAGAAAGCAGGAAATGATGGCGTCACCTGAATGAAATTTCGAGGAAAGCTTTGGCGCAAAACGAGACCCGCTCTCACGTCATCTTCCATGTCCCGACAAACAACGTTCGGGCTTACACACGCGGAATCCGTGCACCATTGGGCCACACGGCTGTCCTCCCTCGACACTGCCATGGCCCTCGGATCCCTCACGAGATGTATCACCTAAAAGCAGAAAGATAAATATCCTTTAGCAGTCGTCAAAAGCACTTTCAAAATGAAATGCCAGAACAGTCACGTAGTGAGAAATATATTATAATCGTCACTCAAATATCCAACATAAAACTCCTCTTTGATATTTGCTCATTCTTGAATCAATCAAGAGCAAGTATTTTAAAATTAAGAAGACGGTTTGAAAGGAAAAATCTTCAGTTGTGCACAAAAAATTCGACAACTCAAGATAATATACAGTACTTCAAGAGGAACCTAAAAATTCGAAATTTAACCCTCACCCTTTCAAAATTCAATAAGGCCAAGGCTTGTGATTCAATGCTTGGCACTGAACTAAAATTCAAAACGTTTCATTGAAAGGGAAACATGAAGAATAAATTGTCTATTGTGGTCTGCAAGGACACTCCCCCACCTTTCTGTGCAAAGTAGCCCCAACCAAATGCATTAATATGGCCCTTGCCCACGCAGTTTCTTCCAAGACAAGGAAATGAGGATATGAGTGAAATTCTCGCCTTGATTGCAGGCGCCACCTTCAGCGCACCAAAACCACCGCCACCGCCGCCAACTACTTCCGGCCGCCGAAACACGCTGCCATCCAACAACTCCGTCGTGAGATTCAGCCTCAGTCGCACCGTTTTCACCACTCGGATCCGATGCTTGCCACACGCCTCCGTGTTGAACTGGGCGTCAAAGCAGTAGGGCATGAAATTTCTACACACGCGCCAGAGCCGAGCATTGTGCTGAATGAGCCAAGTGTACTGCGGCTGCTGCACATGGCCCAGCCACGTGCCAAGCTTGTCGTAGCGACACGACGCCAGACTCGTGACCCACCGCGCACTTTCCAACGCATGACGACCACCGCGAATCTGCGCGTTCATTGAGAAGTTGTGAAAGGGCTCGTAAGTGTAGAACACGCCCGGGTACTGGTTCAACAGCTCGCCCAGGAACGAAGACCCGGATCGCCAATAGGCCACAATCAGCACCAGCAACGGCTTCCGCTTCGACTCCTCTTCTCCGTCCAGGCCGTTGTACCTGAACTCGCGCTGCAGATTCGAGTCCAACGCATTCTGCAACATCTGTCCCAAGGCGGAATAACACAACTCCTGTGAGAAACTGAGCCCACACAAACAAGTCTCTCACCCACCCAACGACGACGACGATGTCATTATGCGAGCATTACGAAGACAAACCCAGCCAAGAATTCACAACAAAAAATACGCATGCCAGTCGCTTTCTTCTTTGGCGCTACGACATCATCTACAAAAATAAAAAAGGGTGGAATCATGCCTTATTAAACACACACCGTTTGTCAGGAAAAATTCAAATTTGAAGAAAGAAATTTCCCCTTTTGAACGGCGCCAGTCTATATTAACCCATTAACTGCCAAATTTCCTACACACCAATTTTTGCATCAGTTCACTTCATTTACATTTAGATAGGCTGGGGACATTTTTTCTGAATTTTAAATTCAAAATTTCGTCAAATATTTGAAATTCAAACTTGATCCCCAAATGGGGCTCACGGCAGGTAGCATCTTCTTTTTTACTAGTGAGAAAAATCTTCTATTCATTGAAAAAAAAAATTTGGATTTTTTTTGGCTAAATTTCATTATTTTTTTGTTAATGTGAGTGCAAACATAACTTCTGATTCATTTTAGATGATAGAATGCCACTAGGAATGAAATGCAATTTTTTTTTTACTATTTTCCGAAAATTTCAACTTTTTTTTTTTTTTGTAAAAGCTGAAAAACTCTTTGTTACCTATTCAGCCAAAAGAACATTGATTTGCTAATATTTTCCAGCTGTTGGGTGAAGTTTGAAAGCTTGGGGGCATCTTTAAAAATTTTTTTCAAAAAAATTGTCTTTATTACAACTAGAGAAAAATTTTAAAATAATTGATTTTGAATGAAAAAATTTTTTTTTCACTTGTTTTTAATATTACTTTTGCATGCTCAACCCAGCAGATAGGTTTATTCAACATAGTAAAATTTTTGGACATATTTTCAAAAAATTTCCAAAATTATTTTTTTACACCCCAACTGCCATGAGCCCCATTTGGGGATCAAGGTTCTTGCACTTGTTGTGATTGATCAAAATTCCAAAAAAATAATTAAAATATGCCAAAGCATTCAGAACTAACCAGGCTACAAGGACAAAAACAATTTTTAAATTACCTGCATTAGAAAGTACTTTTCTTGAATTTCAAAAATCATATTTTAACTTTCCAACGAAATTTGTGAGTTGGCTTCAGAAAACATGTTGCTGTAAACTTAAAAATGATCATAAATAGGCAAATGAGGTCTTGAATTGTAGATAACTTCTTTGCGAAGCCTTGGCATATTTTTATTTAATTTTTATAGGGGTGGTATTTTTTTGGCGGGGGAAAAAGTAGCTGAGTCCCAAATGGGGCCCACGGCAGGTAATGGGTTAACGCTACTCTTCTGAAGCTTTCCTCAAGAGCCTGAGAACCAAACCCAGGTTTGGTTCCCAGGCTCATCCAAGGACAATATCCCAGATTTCAATGAAAGTAGCCAAATCGCGCCTTTGAATCTTAATCCAAAAAGTTATCTTTGTTAATCAAAAACCCCAAGATGTTCACTCTGTACTTCTGCAGTTACCTGAGGAACCAAATGGATCTCCGGGAGAACTGCCAAGAGCATGAAATAGCAATTCCAAAATCAATACCTCTTCTTGACTTCTCCCAAAAAGTGTTTGATGGTATAATTAGTATAAATACACCATTTTATACTAGGACAAAAAGTCCCGCTTGCAGCCTGGCTGTATGACCCGAGTTTCATCCTTTTGATGGTGAAATTCACTTAAGCCTTCCAATCATCCAAAGCCTCAACAGCCACTAGCTGAACTGTCTCGCTCTCTTAGCTGAACTCAAAATATTAAATCCTCTGATTTTAAATCAACTCTTATTTGCCCTTTGTGTCGTGAAAGCTTTTTACTCACACTGTTTCTACTCTTAGGAAAAAGGAGTGGAGGGGAATCAACGGAACGGCATTTTAGGACAGAAAAGAACCTTGAAAATACTACACCCACCATTAGACCAGCAGGCAAACCTGGGGGTTGCACCAACTCACGAAAAAACTATTTTACCTTGTAATATCGGAATGAACTAAGGTGGATCAAAGTGGAGTTTGCTAAGGGCAACGACGAGGTTGAACTCACTCGCTCCACTTTTGACGCTTTCGGCAAAACGATTTTCATCAGCCCTGTACAAACAAACAAACAAACCGATCATCACCAACTCATCGAATATAAAACAACAGTCTTGGTTGTGCCTTGCGAACGCTGAAAAGCGGCAAATAAAGTGTTCTGTTCATTCATTCATAAAACAACAACAACAAAGCAACAAAATTGGACTAACTGCTGGCCCACGGATCCCGCTCTCCCATTCTTCGTTTGTAGAGTCGAGAGTGATACAGCAACATTCCGACAGACGTGGCGAAGATGATTCCGATGCCCAGACGGCATATTCCCAAAGGGCGCATCGTAAATGAGCCCCCCGAAGAAAAAAAGGAAATCTCAAAAAGTCACTGCAAAAATAAAAATTACAAGTGACTCACGAAAAACATTGAAAAATGTTCTCCTCACCCATAATCATGATGAAATTATTGCGTCGAATTTGACTGCGTTCACCCCTCCGCTGAACATTCTCAGCATTTCAACACACACACAAACACAATAAACCCTGTCCCCCACTCCTAAAGAAAAGGGGGTACACCAAAAAACAGGATCAATGACAAGAAATTTCGACGAGGAATCGATAAATCGCATTTTTTTCTCGATTTGCATGAAGACAAACAATTTCAGAAATCGATACACGCACAACAGAAGAACCCCACCCCAACACAAACAAGGATCATGTTCTCTTAATCAGATTAACTACTCACTGCCGAGCTTTCCTTCCTGAAATCTGGCAATCCAGCGGCAAAAAACCCGAAACCATCAACTTGGTGGCCCAACAACACAAGTAACCCAACACCAGCCCCCTGAACAATTATTGAATATCTGTAAACAATTATTGAAATCGTTTACAGATACAGTATTTCCAGAGTGAAATATGGTCAGGGATGGGAATGAAGTGACATACTTGGAACCAGACACAACATGATAATCCCGGGTCAAACAATTTGATTGAATTCATCTTCAGGCAGATTTTCAAGCTCGGTTTTCGTAAAAAAAGTCTTTGCTCCGAAATTTCGAAAATCATTAAAACCACAACACAATAGAATTTCCCTGGTAGTACAACAAAAACTTGATGGCACACTTGCCCAAGCAAGTTAAAAAGAGAGTTAGTGCTTCGCAACTGCCTTTGATTGGAAGAAGAATTTCTTTCCCGCACTGGTACAGTACATCTTTTAGATTTTTTATTCATCAAAACAAATTTGTAAAATTCTCTAATTCACCGAAAGATATAGCGACAACGACGTCAAACTCACTTGCTTTTCTTTCCATGAAGTGATTTCCATTGTTCTTCAAAAACAGGATGATGAAAAATTGGCGCTAATCAGCTTCAGGGATGTCAGGAGGACATCACTATCGTGCTCACGCGCGCGGCCATTTTTTGACCCCTGCTGCCCTCTATGTGTAGCTCCCAATCCCTGGCAAGGAGTGACTTCAAAGCCGCGGCTTGTGGCGCTCCTCCTGAAGCGCCTGTAGCCCCAAAAACCTTTAGCAAATTAATTGATGGAAATGGTTATTTTCGGGTCCCTAGTGTCTTCCTCATAAACTCTAGGAACTCGCTGCGTTCCCAAAAAGCGCAGAAGTTGACAAAATGGTTGGGAGTACCTGTGAGTAGTATACCGTAATTCATTGAGCAGAGTATTTCAACTTCATTCAGAGGTTTTAATCTTCCTTTGATGATTCACGAGGATCAAGTCGTCATGGCGCAGTCTCCTCTGAGAATGTTTGATGAATTTCACAACAAGAAATTTCTCATCAGTGGCCAAGGTCCTGTGCGTCAGATTGCCGCGAATTTGGGCTTCAATAAGCACATTGTCACGATAGAGGAGTTCAGTACTGTATAATGCTTTTCCTATGTTGGACTCTTTGGATCACAATAGATCATCAAGAGAGGTTGAACAAACGTCTGAAATCGCTCGCAACCCGGAATAATATTAAGCAAAGAAATTTCTTCTCTTCCCAATCCACATGAAGAGCACTTTCCAGCTATTGAATCTGGGTTGCAAACGATTTCAAACTTTTGTTCAACCTTTCATTCTCAGAGGAGACTGCGCCATGACGACTTGATCCTCGTGAATCTTCAAATGAAGATTAAAACCTCTGAATGAAGTTAAAATACTGTGCTCAATGAATTACGGTATACTACTCACAGGTACTCCCGACCAACTTGTCAACTGCTGCGCTTTTTGGGAACGCAGCGAGTTCCCAGAGTTTATGAGGAAGACACTATAGGGACCCAAAAATAACCATTTCGATCAATTAATTTGCTAACGGTTTTTGGGGCTATACATGCAGGCACTTCACCTGTAGCACCACAAGCCGCCGCTTTGAAGTCACTCCTTGCCAGGGATTGGGAACAACACATAGAGGACAGCAGGAGTCAAAAAATGGCTGCGCACATGAGCACAACGGTGAAGTTATGCTGACATCCCTAAAGCTGAATAGCACTGAAATATTGATAACGTTGTCTCCAGGTCGCTTTCATCCATTTTTCCTCGTGCAAAATTGTGAATGATGCAGACACATTCGATTCGACGACATTTCAATGCCGAGATGGCACATTCCAGAAGATGGTAGCATTGGCAATGAACCACAACACGGCTCCCAAAAAGTCAGGGCAGAGGGGTTGAGGCCCCATCTCGCCAGAGCAGAACTCTTGGTTGTCCAAACTCTTTGCCACTCCCTCCTGGATCCCCTCATGCCCTGCACCCAACACTCTCTTTCCTGTGATGGTTGCACATGATGGCATGAGTGACTTCAAGAATTGGGAATAAATCCTTTATGCAGGAAGTGGTGTAGCAGGTGACTCCATGTGAGAAAAAATGATTTCTCCACATATTTGTGAAATGATATGATGGGATGTTCCATGGGTCTTTTAGATGTCAGGCATATTTTCTTATAAATGTTGTTTACAATAAGTGCATTTGACAAGTTGAATTCAATTGTGGGTTTAACAATAAGTGCATTTGACAAGTTGAATTCAATTGTGGGTTTGACAAGTGCCTCTTCTACTGAGGCCTGCTTGACATCAGTTTCATTGAACTTGGGCATTTTATTACTTCAAGCAAGGAATTAGCTTCAAAAGGTTCCAACAATTTTGTTTCATGGGTTTAGAATGACCAATATTATTGTTCAGCAATAACAGTATTGCTGAGGTTTTGATGTCAATTTTTTATTGAGCACACAAGATAATTTCTTGGACACTGCCTGTATTATTCAGATACAACAATCTAAATATAGTCAGGGGAAGGCTTCAACAAAAATACAATAATTGACCAGTTCAGGAAGACAGGAGTTTTTGACACAAGGATCAAATTCTGCTGCAAAAAATATTGTTGCAGTACTCTATATTTATGTCAATGCATGAAATATATATTCNACCCATTATTGATGGTTTGAGGGACCATCACCTGTGATGTTACAGATGACAGTTTTTCATGGGTTTTTTACTCATGATAAACTTAAAAATTATTTGCTGGGTCCCCCCCTTTAAAAAAAAGGTGCCGTCGGTGGCTTGTTAAAAAAAGTCTGGGGGTTGTGGAGCGGAATTGCAAAAACGCGCAGGTCGGCGGCGGCGTCTTTTGGGTCGTTAATGATCCAGTCCTTGGTGGTCGTGGTCATTAATCCTCGTCATATGTGATGGGTCCCTGGCCGGTAAGTGTTGCCAGTGTGGACCATTTTGGTTTGATCTCCGGCGTTTCCTCTGGTTCTGATGAGTCGCTGGAGGAGGATGAGAGGAAGCGTCGTCGCTTCCTGGTGTTGTCACGTCTGGCCTCGGCTGCGGGGACGGAGTGTGAGCTGGACTCACTGGTAGAGTGATCTCGTCGCTGGACACAGGTGACGTCGCCCGGCTGGGAGTCTTCGTCCTCCTTGGTTGAGGTGGGTCGGCAGCGTGGTTCTGGTTTGTCGGAGCTCTTGGAGAGCTGGAGGAGATCTCCTCCCGTCGGTGCCATAGAGGCGGCTGTGTCTCCGGTGAATTCCCGTGTCCTGCTTCCTCTTTGGCTGGCGTCGGCTGACTGAGGTCGTCGTCCGAGCCGTTGCTGAGGTGGAAGCGGGGACGTGGGGCGGAGGTCTCCGAATCCTGTATGGGAAGAGAAGGTGGAGATTGATTGTCAGAAAAGGTTCTTAGGTTGTTGGGACACGAGGGGGGGGGTGCCGTCGGGAAGGAGTACGGTTGCAGTTCCCAGGCATTTGCAAGTCGTGCCCCTTGGGGTGTATCGATGACAAACGCGCCTTTCCCTTGCTTTCTAATTATTTTGAACGGTCCAAACCGTTTGGGTAAGAAACGTCGGTGCGCCGCGTGGCATTCTGTTGTGCGCAGGCGTGGCCATAGGGTGACCATCTGGCCTACCCCGAATGGGGGGTTGTGTTTTTTGTTCGCTTGCTGAATATATTGGGCCCGTTTGGTTTGGGCCACTTGCTATGCTGCCTGTAGCTCTGGGGTAATATCCCTGGCTGGTGCTTCATATTTCACATCACATGGTGTGAGGACGGGCCGTCCGTGCCATAACTTGATGGGTGGCAGCCCCGTGGTTGAGTGGGGTGCCCTGTTATATGCTAATGTTGCTTCATGCAGCACTAGATCCCACATGGTTGGGCTGGATGCCGTTTTTGCCAAAATGGATGAGAGAGACTTGATCGTCCTCTCACAGGCCCCATTCCCTTCTGGGTGGTAAGGCTGCGCAATGTGCACTTGGATTTGGTTTGCTTTCAGGAACCGTTGAAATGCTGCGGAGGAAAAGACTGCCGCTCCATCAGAATGGATTATTTTGAAGGATCCCAATTGGGCGAATACATCCGCAATGAAAGAGCAGAGCGCGTTTGCTGTCACTCGTTTAATCGGCTGAGCGATTGCCCGTTTTGAGAAGTAATCAACTGCTACCAGCGCATATCGGTGGCCCTGTTGCAAGGGCAGGAATGGACCCCAGAAGTCGATTCCAAGACGGTCGTGTTTCTTGGCCGGTGGTGTTGGTTCCAGCGGCACGCCCACTCTGGATGTCGCTGCGTTAAACGTAAAACACTTGGCGCATTCAGCGATTTGCCGGAAGATGTCGGCCCGCATATTAGGCCACGTGAATCTTTGTCGCAGGTGCTGGAAGGTTTTTTTCCAGTTCGGGTGCCCCATTTCCAGATGGTATTCCTCAATTAGGGCGTGCCTTTCTTCTGCCGACGGGGATTTCCCTGAGCTCGATCAAGTGGAGCTGGATGCGACTGAGTGCGTCTGGTCTGGTGAGTGATTTCCCCGGTCTGTGCACCATCGTGTACTGGAAGTACTCCAATTTAAGTTTGAGGCTGATAAGCCTTGTGTCTGTCAATTCCCCGAGCAGGGCCTTGTGGTCTGTCACGATTTTGATCTGTCGGTGTTTGACGTAGTGACAAAATTTCTTTGTGGTCGCCCAGACCGCTGCCAGCAGTTCTCGCTGGGTATTAGATTACCGCGTTTCTGCCGGTGTGAGTACGCGGCTAGCATATTCCATTATGTGTGGCTGTCCCTGATCGTCCAACTGCACCAATATTGCTCCGATCGCCGTTGCCAACGCGTCGCAATGTATTTCTGTTTGCCATGTTGGTTCGAATCGTTCGAGTCTGGCTGCTTGGGCGATTGCCTTTTTGAGCTCCTTGAAAGCCGTCTCTGCTTGGTCCAACCAATGCAGGGCTGTGGCTGGTTTGACCGGAATGGTCAGCCGAAGAACTTTTTCTAATTTTGCAAAATTCGTTGGAATGTGCACCCTTAGGTACGTTGCGAGTCCAAGGAATCGCTGCATTTGCCGCGTAGTTTCGGGCTTTGGAAACGCCTCCACCGCTTTCAGGTGTTTGTTGGCTGGTTGCGTGCCCGTTTAATCTACGATATGACCAAGGAACTTAATTGACTCAGCAAGAAATCGGGATTTGGCGATATTGATCGAGGCCCCAGCCGCTGTTAAGGTCTTGAGTACTTTGGAGAGGTTCTTTGTTACCTGTTCAAAGTTGGTGCCGAAGACAATAACGTCGTTGATGTACACCAAGCATTTTGTGTAGAGGTGCGGCCGCAGAATTGTTTCCATCGTTCTTTGGAATATTGCCGGCCCTCTTTTAAGCCCGTACGGCAGGACCGTGTATTGCCTTTGGCCTCTGGGCGTTGAAAATGCTGTTTTATGGCAGTCGCCATGTGCTAAGGGGATGTGATGATATCCCGAATGTAAATCAAGGCAACAGAAGTACGCGTTATGTCGCCCTAGTGCATCCAGGATGTCCTGGTGCCCTAGTGCATCCAGGATGTCACGCAGAATGGGAGATCCCGGAGTACGTTGAGCCCAATGATGACGGGGTAACGCAAATGGGACAAAAGAAAAAAGGACGCGCGATAGATGACTGAGCCAAGCAAAAAGTTTGTACTCACCGTATGCATTAGATTCGTAGAGACGTGCAGAACGGCCACCGAAATCCGTGCTTGCGTGGGATGTGGTGTAAGTCCTACCTCTGCGGCAACGTCTGTGGCCATGAACGACCGTGTAGCGCCTGTGTCGATAAGCGCTCGGACGCAATGTCCATTGACTCCGATGAGGATGGTAAGGCTGTTGTTGGAAGCTGCGGGGATCAAACAGAGGACAGCCGTCAATGTCCGATCTTTGCATTTCCCTGTTGTGGGCAGTTTGCTGTGGTATGGCCTGCAAGACCACATTGGACGCATTTAGTTGCCTGCACTGATGGCGTTTGGTTAGACGAATTCACCTGATTAGCTGGATTGTTGCGGCAATCTGCTGTTGAGTGCACCACCATTCGTCCCAGGTGGTATGCGCAGTTTTGCAAGGCGCGTGCTGGCGCTGTCGACGGAGTGGAGCTCATTAATCCGGACTTTGAACAATCCGCGGTTGTGTGGAATACGTACTTCTGGTGATGATCACAGTAGTACTTTGGTATTCCGGCAGTGGTCATTTTTGGCGCTCTCGCCTGGCCGGGTGCCGGAGAAGCCACTGTCACCGTTGTTGGCGACGCCGGGTTTGTTCGGCGGTACTCGTCCGCGTGCGCAAGACAATCGTCCCACGTAATCGCCCTGTCTGCTGTGGCTTTAGCGTGGAGCAGCGCGTGCATGCCGCCCGTGGTAATCGATAGCAGTTGGCCGATCAGCCCTGCTGTAATTGTGCGTTCTTGGTTCGGAATTTTGTCCGGTTTAAAGGCGAGGTACCTGATATATTCCTCTCGCAAGCGCTGGCCGAACTCGGCATATGATTCGTCTGGCGTCGGGCGCATCTTTTGGAACCTCTGAAAATGCTCAAACGGTGAGAGGCCAAAACGTACCTTGAGTTGTTCGACGACTTGGTCGTACTGTAGATATCCTTGTTTGTACAGTATTTGCGCTGCCTCCGCTACTTTTGGCTGCGAATGTGCGATGAGGCAATCAATTCGCGTGTGATTCAGCGTGGCTTCATGCACGAAAGCGATCGCTAAGCAGCGTAGGTATCCTTCAATGTCCTTGTTTGGGGACTGCTTCAGGTAGTCCACTCGTCGGCAAAGAAGTGATGCTGTGATATCGGCTGCCGTTGGGCCCAAGATTGAGTCCGGTGGCATGCTCATAACCACATGCAGTGGTGTGATACCGCAATTGTGGAGCATGGTCCCTAGGTCGTTGCGGTTTTCTTCGGTTGCCCCT